GCGGGCCCGTACTTGCCACGTGATGGGTGGGTCCCCGTTTGGCCCCGCGCGATGGGTGAGTCCCCATTTGGCTCCATGTAGACCAAAGGTGCCACGTGATGGGTGGGTCCCCGTTTGGCCCCGCGCGATAGGTGAGTCCCTACATGGCTCAACGTGGTTACCGATGTGTGGATCTTCTCCACGTGTGACCCACAAAATGGGGTCTCACGTGCGGGGGAGTGTTGAAACCAATTGTGTCCCACATCGGAGAGAGGGAAGGAGAAAGAGTACTTTAAATAGAATTACCCCACTCCAACTAATACCGAGGCCTTTTGTGATAAAACCCTACACCTGAGGATTGTGCAGGTGGTAAAGTGAGGACAGTATTGGTGTTGTTGGAGTGGGCCCTTAGCCCGTTAACCTGGAAAATTTGACAACCACCACCACACAGGTCAGCATTGCTGCACATAGAGACCCACCAAAAACAGATCCCCAAAAATTGAAAACACATTAGCCCTCGAACGTTCCTCCAAAAGTCACCTTCTCCATCACACCTAAATCTGCCAATGCTCCTAAGAGAAAACAACCAATCACAACACCAAGGTATATACCAAAAGACCGACACCAAGAGAGTGGAGAGTATTGGTGCAAGCACCAGAGCAAGAACCGTAGCAAAAGCTCTAAATACAATCCGAGAAATGAGCGACAAAGCGCTTATAGATATGGTTGTTGTATCCCAAAGGAGATTCCAGATCCAGAAAAAGGATAAGGCAAAAAGAGGATGAGAAGTTGAGGAAGAAATAAATCTGGTTGAAGGGGTTGTTTGGTGGAGAACGAAGGACACAAAATTGGCATGAGACATTTAATCTCAGCACAGAGTATAAGGCACAAGCAGACACCACAGAGGGAGAAGCACCCAACTCTCAAAGAGAGCCACAGACACAGCCAAACAGGCTCAAACCGAAAGAAGACCAGCTCCACCAAAAGCCCAAGACAGGGAAGAAGGGGAGGTAGCAGAACGAGAGAAAGAAAATCGAAAGAAAAGAAAAAAGAACAATAAAATAAAAAAACAAGAAAACTGAAAATTGCTCTGTAAAAAACAGAGCAGCTCCTCGAGGTGGAAGATGAATGAAAAGGCAGGAGAAAGGGGACAAAGGGGCAACCAAGAAGAGAAAGAGAGAGGAAGAGGAGGAAATAAAGAAAAAAAAACCAGAAAACGATGGAGGGAGAGAACAGAAAAGGAGAAGAGAGAGAGAGAGAGAGAGAGAGGGCTACGGGGAGGGAAAGGGGGGAGAGAGGGGAGGAGGGTCAGTGACCACTTCCTCCCCCTGAGCGGCGCTGAAGAAAGGGGGCTAGGGTTGGGAGAAAACTTTGGAGCGGCTAGGGTTGGGAGAAAGGGTTTCACCCGCGTTACATAAAAACAATTGTAAAGACTTCTAAATTTGTCGTATAATCAAGGAAATATGAAATCAATCAATTTAAAACTTATATAAAGAAAAAACTTGCCGTTTGTGGGAATTGAACCCATGACCACACGGTTAAAAGCCGTGCGCTCTACCGGCTGAGCTAAGACGGCATTTGCATTAGAATAATTACACCAACATAAATCCATTTTAGGGTGATAAAGCCAACATAACTGTATGTTATGAGAACGTACGATAATGAATATTTCATATGGAAGCATGTAACTTAAAATAAAACGCTGGGATTATCATTAATACATGATAAGATCGGAGGGCCTACATTAATATATGTATAATTTATGTTACACTATACAAAAAGCATTATACATTTCTGCTTATTAACCTTTTGAAAATAATAATAATATTCGACCGACAACAATCTGACGCTTCAACTTCAAGTCTTCAAGACCTCGGTTTTCCTTTTCCTTTCCCTCCACCATACGCTTGCTTGCAAATGGCGTTTGGTTTCTGCGAAGGCAGGCACAGATTTGAAGAAGCTGGGCACACCTGCAGACAATTATCCCCCAAGCTACCGGAGACATCGCCGGTCACCAATCCCGTCGGCGGCTGTCCAATCAGGAAGTTTCCGTCCAAATACAACCTCTTCAACGACTTTTTCCGCCCGTACTCCAATGGGATCCTGCCACGTAGTCGGTTGTAACGAAGCGACAGTGACGACAGCACAGGATAGCCCGCGAAATTCACTGGCGGGTACCCTTCGATTCTGTTAAATCCCAAATCGACGGCCACGAGCCCGCCTCCGCCATTACCCGCGGGTTTCGGGGTCTCGACACCTGTCAGGCTGTT